ATTTTAGATTAATTAAAATTAATAATTTTTATTGAAAAGATATATATTAATATATATCTATAAAAAATTAATTAAATATACGAGATAAAAATAAAAAAGCTAAATATATATATATATATATTTTTTTTTTCAAAAGCTATGAATATGAGAATTATCTATTTCAATTAAATACACGTAATGAGGAAAGAAATAAATTTAAAATACCCATTGGATTTGAATACAAAAATGTGTATAATATAAAAATCCCAAAATAAAGATGAAAAATGCTCTAACCCCCCCCCCCCCCATACTCTTTCCGTTGTCATCCCTGACAGAAACTTTTCTATTCAAATACTTTGCTCATTTTGAGATAAATAATGTAGCTTAAGTTAAGGAAACTATTATACTTTATGAATTACTCGTAACAGTGCTGTGCTAATTAGCTCTTTTATAAAATTGAAAATAAGTGCTTTGAAGTTGGACTTACTCACAAAGTGAAAGTTACCGACCAAGCTTAGTAAGTAATCAGAAAAAGTAATGAACTTGAGAGGAAGCTAGAGAAGACTATTACTTTCTTGCATCTTAATATGCCCGAGATTACGGCAGGGGAGAGACTCCCAGTGAATTAGAAAACAAATATTCAAGTACAGCCTGCAATAGTCTTTGTTACAGTCTTTGTTATTCCTCTTAAATAGATGAGATTATCCTAACCTGTCTGAATATTACCTACAACTAGGAGTGTAATAAAGCCGAGTCGAGCTGATACAGTGAGAAGCTCGAGCTCGAGCTCGACTCACAACTCGCGGTTCGAAACTCGACTCGAATTCAATCGAGTTTTATTTTTCAAGCTCGAGCTCGATTCGTGATCGAATTCGAGTTAGAACTCGCTCGATTAAGCTCGATTAATATGTAAAAATAAGCTTGATTCGTATACTCAACAAAAATTCGATTATTTATGTTCGAGCTCGAACTCGAATTCGAAATATTTTATTAATTAAAATAATAAAACTATATTTAAATATAAAAGCTCGATTAAGCTCGCGAGCTACTCGAGCCGGATATAAGAATACTCGAATTTGGCTCGATCGATAAGTCGAGCTACTCGAGCTCGAGCTCGACTCGATAATAATCAAATCAAATTCGAGTTTTCTTCGAATCGAACCCGAGTAGCTTGCAAGTACTAATGTAACATTTACACCCCTACCTACAACAGTCCCTCTTTTCGCTTCAGAAAGCAATATATATAGCATATGTATCAGATTCATCGAACATTGAAGGTTCCAATTCCTTTAAACTACCTACTAGAAAGTCCAACCTTGTATAATCTACCACATTTTTAGAAATTCATAGAGCATCAAAGGGCTAAGAACAATGTGTAACAGCATTTCACTTATCATTCAAACAATATTACACGTCTCAAGTCCAGACCATGTCAAACCCATCAAACATATAATATGTCCTTAGCAAGGAGCTTAATATCAACCAAAAAAAAATGGAACTGGGCAATCCATGGTAAAAGTTAGCTAAAACCTAACCATACAATGTGTAAAACCATTATCTTTATTGCACCACTTAGTCACATGTATAAATGCAACAATTAAACATCATTGAAATTGAGCATAAATCCAATAAGACCAGTCATCTACACATACATGTATTCACCACCACGAACAGCATTTGCAGCACCTTTTCTCTCTTCTTCAGCCTCCTTCTCCCGCTCCTTCCAGCTCTCGTAATCATGGTCATCTGTTTGCAGCTCATATCTACAAATTGGGCAAGAATTGTGCTCATCCTGCCACAAAATCCATTGCATATAAGATACACATAATCCACAATCTCATTTAATCCTCCATTTGTTGAAACTAGAAGTGCAATATACCACTAATCAAACAAAGTCAATAACCATTACTTACCAGCCATGGCTTTAGACAAGGAGGATGGAATGTGTGCTTGCAAGGTAATTCTTGCATTTTATCACCTACAACAAGATTCTCCTTGCAAATTGCACATTCTGCATCAGATCCAAGCTTAGCCAGGATTTCTTCCGTGAGAGTAATAACTGGAAGCTTTGCAACAACTTCTTTACTAGCTGGTGGTACTCTTCGGACACCACCCTCATTCTCCAATATCTTGAAAACAAAGACTAGTTAATTTTTTAGTGATAAAATCTAATCAATTTCTATAAAACAATATAAATTCATCAAGCAGATTACAATAAATACCTCTGGTAGAACAGTATCAAGGTGATTAATGAGGCGTTCAAGCACATTGGCAGCATTTTCTACTGTGTTAACATTCACAGCCGAACCCTGAGAAGATTCAGTAGTGACAGTAGAAGCAAAAGCGTTCATGAGATTCGATTGGACCAACCATTGAGGTTGTGGTGGTTCAGGATCCACAGTAAGATGTCCTTCAAAAAGATAACCTTTGGAAAAAGAACAGAACATTTTAAACATTTTCAAGGCCCCTAAAAAAATACTTTAGAAAGACAGAAAACCGAAGGGTTTCTTTTGGAAACAAACCTCTGTTTTGGGAAGATTCAGATAATGGGACAGGGTTTTCGATTTCATTTAAATGTTCCTTAGCCTGAGAAATGCAATTCCTTAAATGACCCTTTTCAGAAGGATCAGAGACAAGGGATTCTAAGAGCTCGAAAAGACGTAAACCAGCAAACCAGAATCCAGGGGCTGTGTATCTGGTTTTCAAAATGGTCGCAACTCGGCAAACAGCAGAATAAAACTGATAACGAAAACGACAATATGTTAAAATGGTTAAATTGAAAGAGAAAGTTGAATAAAGAGCTTACCGATTTGCGAAGAGAGGGAGAAGCAGAAGGATAATGGAGTTTAAGAAGGGAATTGATAGAGGAAACTGCCTCCTCGAATCTCTGTTTCTTTCCAAGCTGTTTCTGTAATTCCTCTAATTGTTGCTTCAAGCTTACATCTGAAGAAGAAGAAGATTCCATTATTTGCAACTCTGTAATTAAATTCTTGAATACGCCTCGAATTCCGATTCTAAATTTCGTTTCTTCTTTGATCTGTTTGCGGGTTTTAGAATTCTGAATTGATTTTGGTTTTAATGAGAAGATTTCTTGGCGAGTGGGACAACGGTAGCGAGCCCCTCTTTACGGACCAATGTAATTTGGATGGGCGGGTCTTCCTCCTTTACGCGCTTTCTTCCTGCCCACTCTCATCTGCCTGCCCTACGTTATTAGGCCGATTCAGCTGTGGGTTATGGGGGCAATGGGCCAATCCCATAAAATTAGGACTTGATTTGGTACTTGTTATTCCTCTTCACTATTATCCATTTAGTTTTTTTTAATGTTACCAAAAAATTATCCTTTTAGATTTTAGTATAATAGTAGTTTTTTATTTTTCAAAAATCATTAATAAATTTAAAATAAATAGTTCTTTTATTCAAAAAATAAATGACTAAATTGTAATACTATAGTTCAAATGTTATTGCTCTTTTTAAAATTAAAATCATTTGATTCTAAAGAAAGCTAAATTTTTATTGTTTAAAAGTATTTTCTTTATACATAAAGCTGTGTGGGATTAAAAAAATTAAAAATCTACCATCCTATCAAATTATTATTAATTCAAGATTATTTTTTACTTGCAGAAGCAAAAATGAAAGTAGAAGAAATACAAGCAAACAAAACCTAAATACCATAAAGTTAATAAGTTGCTTTCCACAATGGAAAAAAATAAGAAGATTATATTCAATCTTATTAGAATGGTAAGATGACTTTATTTTAAAACAAGGATTTTGAAACTATGATCATGCTATATTTTTGTTTGTTTTATTTTCCTAGTAATTATGTGTTGGGTTTTGAGTGATATTCGTTATAAATACAGTTAACGGGCGCTTATAAATATTTGTTAATAATATTATATCTTGTAAGATGTTGTAAAAAAAAAAAAGAAAGGAAAATTAAGGTACAAAGATCCAATCATCTTCACTCTTCACTACTGTGAAATTCAGAGGAACGGCATGATTAACTTTAACTCCGTAGCACAATCATTCAATGCGTGGTAACACATTAACACTAAACAACAGTTAGCAGACCCTGAGTGCAGTACAATACAATAGCTGCGGCAATCTGCAATCGCAAACCTACCCATCATTAAATGTAGAGCCAATGAACTATAAGCTTGAGCATTTATAGAAAAAGAAAAAGAAACTATGAGGTAGAGATAAGAATATTTTATGCTTAGTTATTGGCAATTGTCTAAGTACTTCACCTCTCACACGCTGAAAAAAAAAATGGAGTACTGTTCATATCTTGAAGAAATCTTACAGAAATATGATCTAATGGAGGAGAGAGATAGATGGTAGTAGTAATCATACTAAAATCCGACCCCTGAAGAAATATCATGATCGCCATCATAAACAGACGCTGGAATTGCAGAGACATGCCCATGCTTTTATAGTATGCTTCCTGGTCCACAATCACCAGCCTACATTCCCCATATGAAGTACAACAAAAATTTTTCAACCAGGAGAACGCAAGGGCTTTCATTTGCTCTCAAATGTGGCAGAATTTAAATGTTTATATGCTGCTATAACATGAAATTCGACTAGCATTAAGTAAACAAACATTGATACCACTTTTCTCTGTTGCATGCAGCTTTGAATACGTGATCTAAACATTGGCTTTTTATGAAGCGCTGTTGGCCAAACGCAAGTAGAGACAAAGTCCATCTGCATATCACGTATTTTCACATGATCTTGAGGGAAATCTCTCCTATAAGGAATCTGGGAAAGGCGATTTAGCTATAGTGATCATATTTCTATCATCAATTTTATACCTTTGAGTTTAGAGGAACAAAGTTTAGCATTGAGTAAACAATGGTCGAATAGCATTATCTCACTAATACATCCAGCAAATTACATCATAACATGATTGTGCTAACTTCTGTGGGCCAATTTGCTTAAACAATTCAAATAAGAGAACAAATCCAATATTAAAAGAATACAGGAAAGAACAAAATAAATGTGGCAAAGAAAACTAACAAAAAATACTTAAAAGGGAAAAAAAAAAAAAAAAAAAGACGAATCACAGACGGCATTCTGAAATCCTTCAAAACATAGCTCACTCCACACCATGTTTTCATACAGTGGCCTCAATCCTTGGCTCGAATGAAAAGGCAGACATGAATTCCAACGCTACACCATTCATGGAACATTTGGGTAGTTCAACCCATTCGTTAGTCACAAAATCACAGAGAACATAACTGCAAAGCTCAGCAGAGCTTAAGCAGATAAGTATCTGATCACCAGCCCCAACACAGTTTATGTCTACCTTCTTGCCATAAAACTCGTGTGACAACGCAGGAGGCATTGCTGCAATCTGATTCCAAGTCTTCGTTTTCTCATCACACCTCCACACCCTAAGACTAGCACTTTCAAAAAATTCTGATAACACAACAACCAACATCTCTCCTTTACACTCAACCACATCAATGGAGTACTCAGAAAAGACAGGCAACAGCCTGGGATATTCAGAGTAATACTTGTGGGTCAGATTGCAAGCCATAACTGTCCCTGATGAGCTGAGGAAATAAACAACCTCCTCATCATCTTTAAGAGTCATAACTGATGAATACTGCTTGGATGGGCTTCTCTGCATGTTAGTTACCACTAAATTTCCAGCTTTACTAAGGAAGTACACGGCATCATCATCATCATCATCATCATCTGAGTCAAATTCCATACAATCATCAGCTTTTCTCCTCAATATAATCTCATCTTCCCAGCAATCAGCACTTGAGTTATAAACTTTGAATGAAAGCTTTGGAAGATCACCAGAGATTAAGACAAGCTTGTACAAGCCATGGTAGTTGGTATATACATTCATTGCAATAGCATGAAGAGATAGATCTTGAGAGTCTGGACCCACTGGAGGGAGTTGGCGACAAGATCCTGTCACGGGATTGCATACAATATAATTGCCAGACATATTGCGGAAACAGACAAGCCCACCAGATGCTGCAACTGGAATGGAGTCACGGTTACGGTTATGCAAGAGAAGAGGCGGATGATTAAGTTTTTTCCAACTTTTTTCAGCAGAGTCGAAGACAACTGATTGATTAAGATTGGGATCCACCATGAAAAACCATGGATCCCGTGAAGGAATCCAAGAGCAAGCTAGCTTAAAACTTTCAGAAGCAGCAATTGATTTCCATCTCTTGCACACTGAACTGAGGCGAAAGAAGGTGGAGGCTGGTAACCATGAAAGGACCCTTTCTAGGAGATCTTCAGTGAGCTCATCCAAGGAAAAGTTCAACATTTCATCGCCTTCTTGAGGCAACTTTCTCTTTCTAGATGGCCTTGAAATGCAGCCATTAGCATTCTCCATTGGCAGATTATTTCAGAAAATTAACTGCAATGACAAAAAGAGGATAGCAACACTAGAATAAGAAGCCATTATCAACTATCAATTATAACAATAAACAAAGGAATCAAAAGGCAATTTTTTTTTTTCAAATCTATCCCCATCATAGAGAATATATGAAACAAGGCAAATAAGGCTTGAATATCACATCATTTAAAGATTAGGGAAAATTGACAACCCAACTAACATAGGCATTAGAGGTCCACACATGACTAGAAAGCAATAAGCGGCTTTCCTTTTCCTAACATCTTCGCTCATATTAACACCGAAAATTTACTTTCTAGGAAAAAGTAGGGTAAAGAAGAGCAGAAAATAGTACTACTATTAAAGAAGTGACAACATCATACCATTTGGTTAGAACAAAAAAGGGACCGTAAAAACCTTTGTCTAATAGAAATTTCCTTCTTTTTTTCAAGGGGTCCAACAAGAGAACAAGTTAGCTCCACTTAATTTCACTTCAATGAATGCAGAGTAAATTCTTCAAATAAAGTAACTAAAAAGGACAATTTTGGGAAACCATGAATTGAAGAGGGAAAACTCAAAAAACTACAAAAAGGGTAAAACTTTTGCTAACTACCATCAATTTGCACCAGACACATTTTTCTTTGTTTTAAATTCTAAAGAAACTAAGACATAACCCATGAAGAAAAAAACTTTTTGTTTGATAAAAACAAGCAGAAATAAGCTTGAAATGGAAGAAGATGAGGACAGAAAGGGAAAGATCAAAGAAGGGAAATGTACCTGGGGCTGATCGTAGGAAGCTGAAGGGGCCAAGAGCGTTAAGTGAAGCTTAGTGGGGCTCTGGGGTTTTAAAGAGGGACAAGTTGAAACAGCCCAAAGCAAAACAAAAGAGAAAGCAACAGCAGAGAGAAGAAAGTAAAAGGGTTTAGAGAAGAGGAAGAGAGGTTCGAAACTTCCTGGGGGTTGCTCTTTTTGTAAGCGTTGACACCATAGACACAAAGGGCGAGCAGAGCAAAGCCAAGATTTATACTTCAAAAACAAAAGCGAAAGTGAAGCCTCACACTCACGCACACGAGTGGAGAGAGAGAGAGAGAGAGAGAGAGAGATAAAGCAAACGAAACAAAATCTACCAAGTTGACTCTAGCTCTACAGCTATACTAGGAGACTACAAGACAGGACTAGTATGGGGTAACAGAAAAGAAAAGGGAGGGTGCATTGGATTCTGGGTTGGGCCGGCCGTGAACTAAACAAAGCTCAAGGATTTTGTTTGCTGTTTTTGCACTTTAATCATAAAAGAAAGTGAAAACACGCACACGTAACCCCAGTGGAGTAAAAGAAAAAAGAACGGCATTTCCATGTCAGAGGGAGGAGGGAATTGAAGCCTGACCAAGGAGGCTTGCTCGGGTGGGTTGCTGACCTTTGTAAAGCAAAAGCAATGAAGGAAAGAGAATTGCTTTCTTTTGTTTGCCTCCCTCGTTGAGGAATCTTTTCCTCTCTTTTCCTTTCTTTTCTTTCCTTTCCTTTCCTTTCCTTTCCTTTGGACTTTGGTCAGTGTAGTGTGTTATGTATTAAAAGTCAAAATGCCTCAGAAGCAAGAATCGATGCCTCTAAAACTCCCCAAAAACAAAAACAATAAATCATTAATCCAAAGACAAAAAAGCCGTTAATCACGATATCCTTTTCTGCTCGTGTTTTCAAACAGAGACCCGGATCTCGATGTCACCTTACACGGGCGGGCCCGCACGTCTCAACCCAGCCTTGTTTATTTAATCAATTGAGCCCATTTTTCTGGACGTCAATCGAAGCCCCAGCAGGAAAATTTTCCTTAAAATCAATTAGGTTAGATTGTTTCCTAGAAAATAATTTTTATATTTTTAAGTATTTATTGGTTGAAAATTGATTAGTTAATAAAAATAATTTTTTAATTAATAGAAAATAAAATTATTTTTTAAAAATTATTTTACAATTTTAAAAAACAAATATATTTATCAAAAAAATTATTTATAAATAAAATTATTTATCATTACTTTTAAGCATAATGTTACTTATAAATCTAATATATATATATATATATATATATTACATTACAACATATAAAGTTATGTGATCAAAATTACTTATGTGGATGTCTAAATGAATAATCTTTTTTAATGACACATAGAATAATATTTATATTATTATTTTATCAAATAAAAATTTTTAATAAATTATTTAAATTGAATATTTTGGATAATTATTTAAATTAAAATCAACATCTATCTAAGATTGAAAATTTTGCATAAGATTTGAATTCAAATATATTAAATTATAATCTATCTTTTTTAAAAAAATTTAATGGTAGTTTCAAATATATAGACTTAATAAAATTTTATTTTTTGAAAAATAATCTATTTAATAAATTATTTAAATTTAATATTTTTAGATAATTATTTAAATTCAAATCAAAATCTATTAAAAATTAAAAATTATTTAATAGATTATTTAAATTTAATACTTTTAGATAAGTGAATGAATTATTGATTAAAAAATATTTATTTTTAAAGTAATAAAAGCTTACATCTTTGTATGAAAATATGAGACATTTGAATATTGTTAAAAAAGTTAGATAAAAATATGATTTTGCTTTAAAAACAAATATAATGTTTTATTTATATTTTAATTTAAATATTTTCATATTATATATTTGGTTAATTTATTTGTTTCTCTTTAGTCTATAACTTTTTTAAATTTTACTTAGATTGATTATAATAAACTTTTTGTATTATACCTTTTTTATTTTATTAATTTCTTCAATGTTTTTATTCTCTGTTAATTTATTAATATATTTGCTTTTATTATTATATATATTTAATCTTGACAAATTAATATGTAAATTTATATTCTTTATTTCATTTTGTTATACTTTTTATTATTGAATTTCTTTATCTAAAATGGATAATATGAGAATAATGATGATCACTACCATATCTAACTCACAAAAAATAATATCAATTATATTATAAATGATTAAAAATATAAAAATATTTCAAAAAAAAATTTTAAGCGTAACATAAATAATTATTTTTTCCTTTTTATCTAAAGAAGAACTTTATTTTGTTAACATATATAAAAATAATTGTTAACCTAATATATTTGTATAATAATTACTTGAAGTATGTAAAAAATAATAACTAATAAAAAGCAAATAACTATAACAAAATCAATACATATGATTTGTTGTTCAATCAAATATATAAATATATACACCACCTAATCAACATTATGATAAAAATAATTATTAATTTCAACTATTTAAATATTGATTCTTGATTTTTTATCAAACAAGAAAAAACGATAATAAAATTTTTAGTATTTAGCAAATAAATTGAAGAAAATATTTTTTAATGAAAAAAAGATTTTTATAATTCTTAAAAATGTACAAAAGTTTAGACTTTTTTTAGATAAACAATATCATTTATAATATATTATGTATAAATTATCATTTAATTGTAACTTAACATTTATAAATATATGATTATATATTAGATAAATAATTAAAAAATAAATTTAAAATTATGTAAAATTTAATAAAAAAATCTCGTACACTGTACGGGTTAAAACGACTTGTATGTATATTATATAACAACATACATAAATAAGTTTGTCACATGGATGCCTATGTGGACAACTCTCTTAAATGACACATAAGATAGTATTTTTAAAAAAATAAGATAGTTTCATTTAATTACAAATTAGATAAATTTAAATTTATTGAAATATCAAAATTATTCAAATTATAATTGAAAATCAAATCAATTTAGAAATATATTTTTAAAAATAAAAACTATGAAATATGTATTTTATTTTTTTAATAAGTAATTTTAGTTGTTTACTTAATGACCTTATTTAAAAAATTATTTAATTATCAAAAATTTTTAAACATGTTTAAAAATTAAAAAAATTAAATTTATCCAAATCTTTCAACAATTTTTTTATCTCGATTTAAAAAAATTATCTATTTAATCATAATTACCATAAAAGAATTTTTCTACAAATTTAAGACTACAAATGTAATATATTATATATCAATTTTTTTATTTTTTTAGTAACCTTTTTTCAATGTATGTTCTATTACTATTGCAATTTTTTTATAATTTTTTTCAAAATATATTTTATTGTTATTAAAGTTTCATTCTTATGAAAAATAATATTTTTTTATTTTATTTTTTTCACATATTTTCTAACTTTTCTTATATTTTGCATAATAGTTTAGTCAAGATTACTAAAGTGAAAGTATGTTAACACTTCTTTTATTATTTAATTTATCATTTAATAATATATAGTTTTTATTTTTTTAAGAAAGGCATAATTTATTTTTATTTAATATAATCTTACAAGTGTATAAATATTATTGTAAACAAAAATTATCCAAAGGAAAACGATAACTTTTTTTCTGTTTTTAGAAAGTTTATTTTTTAATGACAAGTCAACATATATAAATTTTATATATGCTATGAGTTTTAAATATTTGAATATAATTTTAAAAAAACTAATATATATATATTCATATTAAATAAATAAAATTATTTCATGTATTACACGGGTTATAATTTAGTAATATTATATTAATAAATAAATAATATTGTATTAATAAATCATATATTAATCAATAATATTATAATATATTAATAAATAATATACTATTAATATAATATATTAATAAATATTATTAATAAATAATATTATAATACATTAATAAATAATATAAAAATAATAAATAGTTTTATTTTAAGTATTTTTTATATTAACAAAATATTTTAATATTAAATATTTGTATTAAAATATAATTACTTTTTAATATTAATAATTTTAATAATAAATAATTTCAATATATTTTAATAATAAATAATTTTTAATATTTTAATAATAATATTAATATTATTTGAAATAAATAGATTTTTCAAAAACAACCAAACAATGAAAAATATTTTTTATTAGCTTATTTAAACGACAGAAAATCTCTTTCAATTCATAAAATGTAAATATTTTTCAAAAATTATTTTTTGAAAGTTATTTTTTACGAAACAAACAAAACCTATAAATCTCTTTCTCTTACCATCAATTATAAACCAACAAATTAAGATTTAAAAATTATTCTTATTTCAATAATTATGTTTACAATTTTTTAATAAAATGCATGGGTACAAGGAAAAAAGTGAACAAAATTAGGAAGTCATATGTTAAAGTGCATGTGAAATCACAAAAGAAATTAGCATATATCATCTCATAGTGCAAGTTTGAATGATGAACTATTAATATACGAGTATATATTGAGAAATTATGCATTGGAATCCAATTTTATATATGGCGAATACAATTTTTAAATTATATAAATAAAATTAAATACCCCTCATATGCTTTATTTTTAAATTATTTTTTTATTTTTTAATATACATTAAAAGATATATATATATATATAAAACTACTACTCCCCAATAAAATTTAAATAAAATAAGATAATTTTCCTATTATTATGTAATAGATCATATTTTTTAATTTGTCAAAATTTTAATTATATTAATTTGTTGAGCTCATAATAAACATATCTTAATCTAATATATCTAATCTAATACATATATATATATATATATTATATAGCAACGTCTACAAACAAATTTACTATATAAGCACTTATGTGGACAACTCTTTTAAATAACATATATGATACTTTTTTAAAAGAATAAGATAGTTTTTTTTAATTACAAATTAAATAATTTTAAATTTATTCAAATATCAAATTAATTTAAATTATAATTGAAAATCAAATCAATTTAGAGATATATATTCTAAAATTAAAAATATATGTAAACACCCATTTCGGTCTGGGCCTATTATAGTCCAAGCTCAGTTGAACACATTCTAGTCCGGACCCAATCAGGCTCATTTTGGTTCGAGCCCAATTTGGCTCAATTTGGTCAAGTCCATCTTGGTTTGGGCCCATCATAGCCCATTTTGGTTCAATTAAACGTATTATTATTTTTATTGTTATTATTCATTTTTATTTATTTTCCTTTTCTGGTCTTTTTCTTTTTTTCCTTCTCTTTACTGCTTTTTTTTTCAAATCCAATTCACACGCCAGTGAAAATCGAAATCAAAATCCTACATGGTCAAAGTTTTAATGTGATTGCTAAAATTTTGGACTTAGAATCTCGCTGGGACAGAATTCAATCCCAAGCTTGCGATTGATTCTGCCAGTTTCCTAAAATCAATCCTAGAGACGCGTATAAATTGAACTGTCTCTAATAGACAATAACACAGGAAAAAAGATACAGAAATACACACAAAAAATAAAGAAAATTATTGGGGAAATTCTGAAAAAATTTGCCAGTAAGGGTTTATGGGATTCGGAGATTGGGGTTTGGGAATTGATTCAGAGTTTTTGTGGGATTTTAGGTTTCTTGATGTGATTCCAAGGCTATAAGGGGTTCAGGGAAGGTTTAGAATGACGTAGGAATTTTTTTTTTTTTGTTTTTCTAGGTTTAGGATGAATTTTTCGATGACAGAAAATTTTTAGGTGAAGGTTGAATTTTTTGATGAGATTTTCAGAATCCGACAAGCTTTCCAGAAATCGATAGGTTTTAGT